TTTCATTAATATTCATATCAAAGGTGTTTCTAATTGATCTGATTTATATTCGTTACTTTAACTACGACTACAGGCGGTAAGCATAGCCTCATTAATATTTATTAAGTAAATTAATCTGATTTATATTTTTTACTTTAACTTCGATTACAGACGGTAAGTATATCTTGATTAATATTTATTAAGTAAATTCATATTAATGGAGTTCTAATTGATCTGATTTATATTCTTTACTTTAACTACGGTTGCAGTCTGTAAGCATATTTATTAATATTTATTAAGTAAATTCATACCAAGGGTGTTTTAATTGTAACTACGATTGCAGACGGTAAAGCATATTTTCATTAATAATATTAAGTAAATGAGGTTTAATTAATTTAATTTACATTCTCTACTTTAACTACGATTACAGACGGTATATTTTCATTAATATTTATTAAGTAAATTCATAATAAAGGTGTTTTAATTGATTTGATTTATATTCTTTAAACCACAATTACAGATTGTAAGCGTATTTTTATTAATATTTACTAAGTAAATTTATGTTAAATATGTTTTAATTGATAAGATTTATATTATTTACTTTAACCACGATTACAGACGGTAAATATATTTTCATTAATATTTATCAAGTAAAATGTGGTTTAATTGATCTAATTTACATTCTCTACTTTAACTGCAATTACAGATGGTAAGCATATTTTCATTGATATTATAAAGTAAATTTATATCAATTGATCTAATTTACACTCGCTACTTTAACCATGATTTCAGACGGTAAGCGTAAATTTATATCAACGTTTTAACTGATCTGATCTGTATTCTTTACTTTAACTACGATTGCAGACTGTAAGCATATTTAATGGATATTAAGTAAATTCTTGTCAAAGATGTTTTAATTGAACTGATTTATATCATTTACTTTAACTACGATTACAGATGGTAAATATATTTTCATTAATATTATTAAGTAAATTTATATCAAAGGTGCTTTAATTGATATGATTTATGCTCTTTACTTTAACTACGATTACAGACGGTGAGCATATTTTCATTAATATTTATTAAGTAAATTCATATCCAAGGTGTTTTACTTAACTACTATTTGTAGTCTGTAAGTATATTTTCATTGATATTTATTAAACAAATTCATATAAATGGTGTTTTAATTGATCTTATTTATATTATTTACTTTAACTACGATTACAGACGGTAAGCATGCAGTATTTTCATTAATATTCATTAAGTAAACTCATATCAAATGTGGTTTAATTGATATATTTTACATTCTTTGATTACAGACGGTAAATATATTTTCAATTATATTATTAAGTAAATTCATATCAAATGTGGTTTACTATAATTGATTTAATTTACGTTTCTACTTTAATACGATTACAGATGGTAAGCATTTTTATTAATATTATTAAGTAAATTTGGATCAAATGTATTTTAATTGATTTGATTTGCATTCTTTACTTTAACCACGATTGCAGGCTGTAAGCATATTTTCTTTGATAATATTAAGGATATTATTATCAAAGGTGTTTTAGTTGATCTGATTTATATTCTTTACTTTAACTACGATTACAGATGGTAAGAGAAAATTTATATCATAGGTGGTTTGATTGATCCGAGTTATATTCTTTACTTTAACTACGATTACAGACGGTGAGTATATTTTTATTAATATTTGTTAAGTGAATTCATATCAAATGTGTTTAATTGATCTGATTTATATTCTTTACTTTAACTACGATTACAGAAGGTAAGCATATTTTCTTTATTTGTTAAGTGAAATCATATCAAAGGTGGTTAATTGATCTGATTTATATTCTTTACTTTAACTACGATTACAGAAGGTAATCATGCTTTCATTAATATTATTAAGTAAACTCATATCAATGGTGTTTTAATTGATCTGTTTTATATTCTTTGCTTTAACTACGATTGCAGTCTGTAAGCATATTTTCATTAATAAATTCATATCAAAGGTGCTTTAATTGATCTGACTTATATTCTTTAACTACGATTACAGCCGGTAAGCATACTTTCATTAATATTTATTAAGTAAATTCATATCAAAGGTGTTTTTATTGATCTGATTTATATTTTTTACTTTAATTACGATTACAGTCTGTAAGTTTATTTTCGTTAATGTTTGTTGAGTAAATTCATTTCATAGGTGGTTTGATCGATCTATGTTATATTCTTTGCTTTTAGTGGGTAAGAATCATATTGTTAATATTTGTTGAGCAAATTCTTATAAATGGTTTAATTGATCCGAGTTATATTCTTTATCTTACTACGATTACAGACGGTAAGCATATTTTCATTAATATTGTAGATGGATTTGCATTTGCTGTTTGTCATCTGGTCGAATATTTTTCGAGTTATTATCTTAATAATTTTAGATATATGCAATCAATGTGGAGAAGAAACTACGAGTGATTACTGGTGTCTTTCTTGCAATTCTTCTTTTTTCGAAAAAGAATTTGATGGATGGACAAGCGGAAATAAAGATGTTGATGAATTCCTACAAAAAGCACAGTTGGAAGCAACAAGTAATTTTAAAGTACTTGAGTGGATTCCATACGAAAAATTCAAAAACATCGAAGAAATTGGTAAGGGTGGTTTTGCAAAGGTTTATTCTGCTGAATGGAAGGATGGACATATCTTATATTGGAGTAGATGTGGTCAACAATGGAAGAGATCCGGAGAAATGAAGGTTGCACTGAAATGTTTAAATCATTCTCGAGAAATATCTAAGGAATATTTAAATGAGGTATTTTTAACGCACTTTCGAATTAATGTAACAAAATATAGTATTTGTTAATATAAAACATAAAATTACTTTATTTTTAACCATAAAATTTACACATAGGTAAAAAGCCTTCATAAATTTAACGAAAACTATTCTCAAATCACTCGATGCTATGGAATTACCAAAGATGAGAAATCAAACTTTATGATTGTTATGAAGTTTGTAGATCATACCAAAGAAATTCACGAGCTATCGTGGGAAGACAAATTCAAGCGTTTATTTTATATCGCTCGTGGATTATTCGATATCCACGAAGCCAAATTAGTTCATCGAGATCTTCATCCGGGAAATATTCTTTTTTCTAAAGAGAATGATACGGTTTACATAACAGATTTAGGTTTATGCAAACCAGCTAGTTCTAATGGGAGAGACGATAAACTATATGGTGTTCTTCCTTATGTAGCACCCGAAGTTTTACATAAAAGAGTACATTCGGAAGCTGCAGATATTTATTCATTTGGAATTATCATGTCCGAAGTACTTTCTGGTATTTCCCCCTTTAAAGATACTGATTGTGATGATAATGAAAAAAGCAATGCTCTTGCGATCAGAATCTGTAACGGAAACCGACCTTTGATAGTTGAATTGATAAAAAAATGTTGGGATGCTAATCCTGCAAAACGACCTCTTGCAGTAGATTTGTGTAGAATTTTATATTCATGGAAAGATTTCGACGATAATTCCGAACTTGCTAACCAAATTAATGGGAGTGATTTGAATCAGACACATCATTTAACAAACCAAGATATTAATACAAGCGAGCTTCTTTGTACAAATATACTTCTTGGTGGAATCAGGCTCGTTCGTACAAGTAAACTTCTTGATTTTAGAAATCTTCCTCAACCCCAAAATTCCAAGAGTTGGGTGAATTAGAAAAATTGCTCGTCAAACTCTTAAAAGTCAACCTTTGATTTCAATGCTTAAGGTAATAATAGTATGTTTTATTGTATTTTCTTATACCATTTCGTGTTTATGAATTCTTTTAATTTATAATATATACAGTATATTTAAAAAATTGAGCGTCAACAACCTATTTACACACATACAACATATATGAGTAATTATCTTTGAAGGCGGACAGGGATTTTTTGAACCTTATAATTGTATCTTAAAATTTACATTCTATACGTATTATTAAAAAACAAAAAAATATTATTTAACATTTCGTCGCCATCAAAGATAATTGCTCATATAAGCTACATAAATAAAATCATATTCTTATATTAAAACTTTAATCCGTCATTCAATAATGGGTCTATTGTCAATTTATGTTTTTAAAAAATAGAGAAGTTAATGTTAAATTCTAATGATTAACAAAATAATAATTCTTGAAAAATTTATACTACGTATTGTTGTGGAATAATAGAGAGGTGAACACGACAATTGAAACGCGTCGTCATAGCTAAAGCTTGGTGGACTCGTCAACAAGGCATTGGTTAGGATAAATTTACATAGTTTATGCGGATGAGAAAGATCATTTTCAACGATAGTTAGTCACAGTTAGAATTTAAAGTTTTTGAACGCACTTCTGTTTTCTCGCGCTTTATCAAATAAATGTTATACTATTTTGCACAATAATACTAACGTTCCATAAATTATAAATCAACGGTACTGCCACTAGAGAAAAAAATTTTAAGGAAGAAACTGATTTATATTTCCTCCGTGTAGAGAGTGACAGTTGTAATCCGGAGACGTACCTAGAGAGATGGTCAAAGCCTTAACTTATTTGGTGTCGAAATCCAAGCGTTCGGATTATCGTCACGCGAGAGAAGCCGCAGACTCGCCGGTGACGACAACACTATATAAATAAAAAGTATTATTGAATTTTAAACCATGCCGTTTATAATATTTAGTTGTTTCCACTGTTATTTAACAAAGGTTAGCAAATATTCATGTAAATATTATTTATTCTTCTTGGTAAACGGTCTTGCACTACAAAAAAAATAAAAAATTAAGCTTAATAAAAGAAAAAAAAAATCATTACTGTATAAAGAAAGAGAAGTATTCATTGCATCTAATTTGTATCTAAAAAAAAAAAAATCATCCACACGCAAAATAATCTCAATCAAATAATTATTGTTAAAATAATGTAAAAATAGATTAGGATCTTTATTCAAGAATCTCAGCCTCAAAAATAAAAGTACATTAATTAGGTATATTATACAGCATCCAAGTAAGTTTACCACCGATCAATAATATTTTTAATTCTTACTGTGCCTTTTTTAAATAATCTTTTTCTCTCCTCCGCGACTCTTAGGGTATACTTGCTACGAATCCTACAACAACCTTTTGATCCACTGATAAAATAGTTCGCATTTATTAATATTAATTTATCTAAAATTCCCTGTAGCCCGCCTCCTGCTAATTCATCCTCTAATGGTTTTGCTAAATCAGTATATTCCTTTAAATAATCTAGCGAATGGGTTGAAACCCATGTATTTAAATGAAACGATGAATTAAGAATTTTCATCGCCTGGTGATGTTCATCACCTAATTTATGAAACGTATCGGACTGTGGTTTCTGCAATAGTGGATAATCGGTAGCGAGATAAATATTATTAATACCAGTTTTCGAAGCTAAGCGTTCGAGATAAACTACCAGTCGTTTCGCACACTCGGGCATCATCGCGACCTCGCCCCTTTCCATTCGCCAATGAATTGCAATGTATTTATCCAATTTTTTTATGACCTTTTCAGCAGCGTTAGTTAAATGCTTTGCATAAGGGACAGGATTAGTTGTTTCTATCAGAAACTTTCGGTCGTGAACTAATAGCACTACTTCTGCTTTTGAATTTAGTGTGGTTGTAAGGAAATTTAACATGTTTCTGTTGCCTTCTCCCGTCATCCAAGAACTATCGTCGCCAATGTTGAGCTGCAAAAACGCGGATGAATTGTCGAATGCAAAATCAAACCTTTTCATTTTTTTCAGTGCGCCAAAGTCGGGTTTGACAAACTTTTCGACATTTATTGGTTCCAACCTTTCAATTCTTGCATGGATAGCGTTGGGTTTATTGTACCGTTCCTTGGTCCACTTCCTAAATTCTTCTTGTGTAATAAATCTTACATCCGGAAATTTTTTCTGAAGTGTTTCAACGTCATAATAAAATTCAAAAGGAAGCATACGATCCCACCGAATCCTAGACCGACCAACGTTGGTCAGCACTATTGTACGTTTTAATCTTCGAGCTATTTCCGCGAAGGCGACAAAGTGTTTGTTGCTAGAGGTTTCTTGTTCGGGCAAATGGTAAGCGAACAGGAAACGGCATCCATCCTTTGTCTCGATGCCACAATATTTCTTATTGATTTGCGAATCCAGCTTGTCAATTTCTTTGTCCGTCTGAAAATACCATACGGATTTTAGTTGTTGACGCATGTAAATCCCTAAAAACTAAAAAAAAAAAAAAAAATACATACTATCACGTCGGCGGGATTTGATACAAGGCCTGTGGGGGTTGAACCCGTCGATAATGTAATATCGTTGAAGGTTGTAAGAAAAGTAAAGCCATTCCATAACACAAAGAGCGCAAATATCGAAAATGCCAATTTTTTTATAAACGTATGCCTTGAGAGATGTCGTTTTGATCTAATCATTTAGATAATTAAATTACTTGAAAATATCAAGATTAAAATTGTATCTCAAAGAGAGGCTTGTATTCATGGTACGAGCCATCTGGAAACAATTCAAATCTCAGCCATTGTACGCACCGGATTACCATTTAAAGAGTTTTATGCACAATGCAGTATAATTCTGACAACGATTACCTTAGAAAAGCCAATGTAACCTCAGACAGAAGTTATACGAGATTCTATACTGGGAAATATCGCAGCCATTTTTCCAATTTTCGATAAGCTTTCCAAGTAAACTTTACTATACATATGATTTAAACATAAACATTACGAAGTCGGAAAACATTAAATGATGATACAACAATGTACACTTTACTGAAGAGAGCCTTCAATTTTAATGAATTTATAGGAAAAACGACAAAACGACGCAGTACGCCTATCATTAACTATTTAAAATTCGAGTAACGATCAACGTTCCGGATCACCATTAGTTAGATCATGGTTTTTTTTTAGCATACCATACAGTCATACGTACTATAAATAAACGAATTCACAATTCCCACGTGTCTTTGATGTATACTCTTCAATGTATCAATAACCTTAAAACCTTTAAACCCTCTCGACTTATGATGTAAGAACATCCGAAACCTGAAATACGACCAAGTTCGCATTGCATGATTAAATTATGGATTTGTTGTATAATTCATAGCGTCCTTTTCTCAATCGGAATTTCTCTCTTGTTTGCTCTTTCCAATATTTCTTAGATAATTTAAATATTTTATTAAAAAATCACCATTACTCTACCGATATCTTCTCTACACGATCGTTCCATAGTGGATGTGAAGTATATGCATTTTCAGTTGAAACCTGATCCTTTCTTTATATAAATTTTATATGTTTAAATTCAAAAGATTTGTTGTCATCGATAATCAGGTAATATAAAATATTGTAAGTATTGTTTACACACCGTCAAGCAAGTACTGTATTATCAAATCACGTGACTGTTATTCGATTTTACGTGTTACCACATTTTTTCGGTCTAGTAGAATTTTATCCCTAGTATTACCGCAGCTCCATGATTACGTGAGAACCATTATTATTTTTAATAATCGAAAATGCATTCGTTCCTCTCGTGATGACAAATCACAATATTGCATGTTTAAAGAATTTCATTGACAGAACTACTGTGACACAATATTCATTATAACCGAATTTATTTATTCGCACGTATTAATTTACTGTTAATAGGAAAAGATATATTCATGATAAAAAAGTGTAGAGAGGAAGGAATTATACTATCTTGGTTCGAAAAATTATCTCAATTACTAATGCGTGAAACAAAAATTTCCATTAAGGATCGAAAGTCTTCATCACAATCATCTAACTCAATGTAATAATAAATGATAAATAAAAGGTGTATGATTCGTCATTGAATAGCAAAGGAAAGGTACACGTAATTTAAAACACGTGGAAAATTAGTAAATCAAGTATAAATTTCCTAAATGGAAATTTAATTTAACATGCGTGTTTTAAAATTTAAAACACGCGGAAATTAGTAAATCAAGTATAAATTTCATAAATGGAAATTTGAATTTAACGTGTTTTTAATGTGTGTGTATAGTACATATTCATAAGTTATGAATATTTTGTGTTCTTTTTTCAGAATCATTTTCAAATAAACCGAGTAATGGGTCAATTTTAACACGCAGTATATTTAGCGTGAAGAGATGGATGTTTGAAAATTTTGAGGTGGGATTTGAAGAGAAGAAACGGCTTTTTTATATCCTTGTTAATTTTTTTCAGATCTTTATTTCGACTTCTTATTGTAATAATAAAAACGTACTTGTTTGTGGCATTGTTTATATACCAAGAAAAACATTATGCCGGTTAGTATTTTTTCATTAAGTGTTGCACATGCATGATAGGATTATTCATACTCTACTTTCGGTTTTACGGAATTCTGATTGAGATCTGTAGTCTCGATAGGCTTGTCGGAGTTTTCCAAATTCACATTTATCTTCAACATGTTCAAATCCAATCAACGAGTTATACTGTAAATTCACTCGTAAATAAACAAAGAAGCTTCAATGTCCCCGTCCGGGCATGTCGCCAACAATGATTGCATTCATTGCAGGTAAATTAAATAATCGGTGGGAATTATTTCTCTTTGTAGTTTTATTATTATCTCTCTCCAATTTAATTAGATCAGGATGTCATTTGACCGTCAACAATCATTCCTGCATTCCGGAAATGCAGACTGCACAATATTATTTGTACAAGTAAGCCATTCTCTTGTTTCACTTCCAAAGTGCTTTTTTCGTATAGTCTATATTATATGTGCTATATTTAAACGACATTTTATATGGTCATAAAAAATAGATAATTATAAAATTTTTTTTTCAAATTAACTGAATTACCCTCATTTCCTTTTCACAAAGACGCATCTCTTCTTTGGGAAGACAATATACAAATGCGACAGTCGCTTTATGATTCACATATATCCGATATTAATTATGTAAGACGTTGGCGTAATGAAAAACCGATCTGTCGAAATCAAATTAATTTCGGAATTTTACTTTGTTATTGGTAGAAATGTCATTGTGGATATGTGTTTGCACGTATGTTAATATTATGCGGCTGCGTTGCAAATTGCAAACTCGAGTGCGTACGTAAGCATAAATAAAAATGTATACAAGGTGGATAAACAATTTACAAATTTTCTATTGTTGAGTCCTAATCCGGGATACCGTAAACTTAATTTCAATTCGCATCTACATGCATCTCAAAAATTTCTAAGCTTACAAAATCGTCTATTCTGAAAAGCCCCCAAACTTGTTTAAGAAACGTCTGTCAGCCCACACTCCAAACTTAGTGTTTATGCGTGTATACTTAATCACACATGTAATTGGCGCAAATAATAAACAGATAATGATCAAGTGTCTCACGGCCTTCAATGTCAAAATGATCCCAAGTCTTGGAAATTCTGACTTAATGGATTTGAAAAATTAATATTCATATAATACAGTGGTGAATTCCCATTTATGGTCTCGCCAAAATTCGAAAGTCTTTCTAATCTTACATACTGTACATAGTCAACATTCACCAATGTCAAGCACGCAATTACTATCGTAGATGTTATTAGCGCCAATCTAATTTATGATCACTTTTGATATCTCTCAAAATTCGTGATTCCAACTAAAAAAGGTTTACAGGAAGTGAAACCCACTTTCAATAATCTAAATTACCTTTATCCGTTTCGTCGGTTGAGGTTTTTTTGATTCGTGAACCCGAATTATTTACTGTAAACAGATATCATAGGCTAATTACTAATCCTAATGTCAATGGCGTAATGGTAATCCTAGTTCAACCATATTAGCAAAAAAAAAGTACTTCCCAGAAAATTCTAATGAGTCTAAGATGTGTGAAAAAGGCAAAGTTACCTCAACATGGTAAATATTTACGATTGAAATACAAACAATCGCTATCATCGTTATCTAGTATATTGAATATCAAATTAAGATTAGGTTTTAGCAATTATACTTTATTTGGCAAAATAAAATGATTACTTTGTATGATACATTACACAAAAAAAAACTTCTAACCCTTATAGAAAATATGGCATCTACGAAAGCAATAAAATTGATCGATAATAAAAACTATTAAAAATAAATAATGTTTGAGTGTAATAGAAAACAATGGAAATAATAGAAATAAAGATATGTGATATACACTGTACGTAAATTAAACTATTCTATAGCATTGTTAATATAAAAAATATGGAAGGCGCGATTTGTATGAAAACGACGTCATGCACAGTATATAACTTGATTAAATAATTATAAGTACTTTAAAATAATTAAAATCCTTTTTTAAAAATTTGAATAAAGTTATTAATAATAGATAAAAATCTTATAAATCTCTAAATATCAAATCATTCAATCTCATCTCAATTTAAAATATAATTTTTTTTTACTTTAACAAAATTTAATTTTTTAAATTTAACAACGTCAATCTATTTTCATCTAATTGTTTTGGTAATAACACAAAATTTCCAATGATTATTTTTTCAATTATACATTGCTTACTTATTAATGAGAGTAAAATTTTATATCTTATGAAATTATTATTTGCAGAATTATTTTTATAAATTAATATACAGTATTATATATTTAATTTATATAATTTTTTTATTAATATACGTTATATTTGGATTATATCAAATATCTTTACAATATTATACTATGTAAATTAACATTAACCTATCTACAATGCTAACTATTACTATTTTTTATACACTTAATATACTTATAATACTAAATAGTTAATGTTATTTCAAAACTGATATAAGTGCTTATGACTTGATTGAATTACTGTTAGGATTGGATTATAAATCTGTTGCTTTTAAAATTAGGTTTAAAAAAGTTTGTTATTTTATAAATATTGATATTGTTACACTTGATCTTCGCCCAAGATCATCACTACCCCTTGTCCGATTTTCACTAGCATTTACTCTTGAAATGTTACCCATTCTAGAATAATTCTTGTATTACTATTCTTGTTATTGTTTAGCACTGT